CGACTCTGCTGTTCTTCCTGCTTTGACGTACGCCTCGGAGACTTGGACTCTACGAAAGCAGGATGAGCACGCTGTCAGCTTTACTCAACGCGCGTTGGAAAGGACGATGCTCGGAATTTCCCTATACACGCAAGTGCAGAAGGGAGTCCGGAGTTCCGAGCTCCGTCATCAAACGAAGATAAGGGGTGCCCCTGATTACGCCAAGAAACCGAAGATCAAGTGGGCCGGACACTTCATGCGATATAGTGATGACCATTGGACCAGGACGGTTGACTTACTGGTTGGATCCCTCGGGACATTAAACGAACTGCAGGAAGGCCGCCAACGAATGGTCAGTCTTATTCACGAAAGCTCTGAACGAAAGAATTGTTGGACCGCAGGAGACGTTGCTCGAGGAAATCGATGATCAACGGGACGACAGGTGATACAGGTGATTGGCGACCGAATGAAACATCTAGACGGTTTTAGTTTCGTGTAGCGCAAGACGAAAACGAAGGGCTACAGCTAAAACTACAAGTAATGCTCCTTTCCGAAATCATGGCTAACCGCAACAGCCACAATCCAGATTTCATAAACAGCGTCTAAATCGAAGTTGCTCTCGTGTTTCCCACAACTTCACATAACTCTGTACTTGCTGGACTGCGGCGGAATTACAGTACCTTCGAAAAAGACCAGAACAATAACGAGGAAAGTATATCGTGCAAAGAATCATGACATGCAGAAAGCGTTAATTTTGGTCGTCAATCGGCTCAGAGCATCCACCCAAGTTACTCTCTCTTCTGCGCTCCTTATTCTACCCATTAGTGAGTGTTCTTTCCTGATCAGCTACTTCAGCTCTGAAACGTTCTTTGATGACTATCCGCGTGAGACCAATATTCTAATTAGGTTTTTGATGATATTCTGGCGTGGATTCCGCGTTGTTCATTTTATTAGTAAATTAGTTCAACCGTTTGTCAGACAGATGTGTTCAATGATACGATGCATTGTCTTTTTGGAAAATCTAGATCCCGAACAATGAGAGGTCTCTATAAAGAAAGAATGCGAATCTCTGTTCTCTATCGAGCTCATTTTAATGGGAACAAACGCTGGCTCAAGTTCATTAGAGCAAAACTCTAGACCATTAATTAATCATCTCAAGAGTTTTTATGAATGAACACAATCGGATGCTTCCTAAGATATCCCTGATAGTGCGGGGAACCATCGTTCCATCGAGACTAAACTTCGTCTTACGTAAGCAGATCAGGAACTGTTCGTTTCTCTTGGGGGACTGAATGAATAACGCCAAATTTTGGTCCAGTTTGGCCGGATCGGTGATTTTTTCTCATAAATTGAGCTATGAACTTCATGCACTGTACATCACATGGTTAAGCCGGAGAATTCGCATGAATTAAGTAGTTGAGGCGTCTTCTAGTACTAGATTTACGTGATCTGAGCAAAAATAGTGATTTTCTTTAATGTTTTAGCATTCGGGATTAAGCGGTGGTCTCTCTCGGATACATTTCTTATCTTTCCGGTTAGTTGCTAATAGTAGCCCGAGTAGCTATATTCGTGAAGCATTCACAGTCATGGGCGACGTTAGTCGAATGCTATAGAACACTAGTGGTAGACCCCTCCAGAAATTATACTACCATCATTTGACAGGTGGTATAGAACAAAATTTCGGATGACAAACGAGATTTCTAAGGGTGATCTCACTCTGCACCGGCCCTATACCCGACAATTTCATGTGAAACTTGGGAAGT